ACTCACTATGCCCGGACTGGACTTCCTATGCCCGGACCGGATTCACTGTTCCTGGACTGGACTCGGTCTGCCTGTGTGACTTCCTATGACCCGGACTGGATTCCCTTTTCCCGGACTGGATCTCCTGATTTCCTGTGCCTCGAATGGACGCGCCAAAATCGCGTGACGTCACCAACGACGTCCCCCGCCGACTTACGCCCACAGCCGCGCGCTGTGACGTCACCGCCGTGCGCTGTGACGTCACCGCCGTGCGCTGTGACGTCACCGCCGTGCGCTGTGACGTTATCCGCCGCGCGCTGTGACGTCACCGCCGCGCGCTGTGACGTCACCGCCGGTGAGCGCGACTTTGCGTCTCGTCGCTCAGCCTCATTGCGAGTGACGCGTCACGTCTCCTTGACTGCTGCGTCAGCGTGTGCCCGTGTCTCGTCCGTGTCCCGGTGGTCACCATCTCGTCGCGTCTCTCGCTACCTGCGCTCGTGTCTGTCCACGAAATGCTTTTCGAGGACTCGATGAGCTGGCCGAGCTGCTGGAAGAGACGGTCATCCCGGCACGCCCGTACGTCGCACTCGCACTGTCTCTCTCTCCTCCCCCCACCACCTCTCTCTCTCTCCGTCTCGTTTTGTTTACGATCAGTGGAAACAAGAAGATGCTCGGTGTATTCGGTACTTTGCTTCGTTCATCATTTCGTAATTTTTGTAAATTTTTTAACTTGGCTTTATGTTAAACCCCCACCTCTCTCGCTCTCTCTCTCTGGCTCTCTCTCGTTCTGCACGCAGCCCTTCTCTGCGTCTCTTCCCTCCGTTAGCGGCGTTACCCCTTAGCGCAATGTTCTTGACTCGTCATCTTCACAGGAGGGCCCACTTTCGCCGACAAGACATCGTCAGTGCGAGGAGGGACGCCGCACGTTTGATGACATGGGGGAGGGGTATTTTCACTGTTTGTGTCTCCTCGACTGTGTCGGGGGCCGTCAGTGGCCTCGCGGCCCTGGCAATGAAGAGCGCGGCCTCTGGCGCCCGCGATGTTTCCGTGGGTGTACTCTGGTCCCCTCCCACGTGCATCAACAACACTCGAGAATGGAGTTGGTCAAGCATCCCAATATCACGACTATCGTTTGCAATTATTGGCGCCGGTTCTGACTGCCTCCCACTTTGGCTGTGGTGTCTTCCGTGCCTCCGTGTGCCGCGAGGCTTAATCTGCGACTTGCAACAACAGCGGCTTGCAAACATAACGCGGTGTTATTGCTATTACATAGCCCTCGGCAAGGTAAGGTCAAAGGTTAAACGGTAAAAAAAACGAGCCTACCTTTACCCTACCTTTTACCCTTACCCCATGCAAATAACCCGATTACAGGGACATTACTGGGGTACTACAACACGTGAACAAGGTGTTATAACGGTAAAAACTGTAGGTAGAGCGCTTTATTCAGATAGAATACTCTGGAATCGGGCGTTGAGGCTGTCGACGACACGGCCCTCCATGACCTCCTCGTCCCGGTGGTCGATGGCGATCTCGTCAACCATCGACGGGCCTCGTATCCCTGCGTCAATGTGCTGCTGACCAAGGGCTGGAACTTGTCGCTGCCGGCGGCTCCTCCACAGAGATCGCGCCTCGGATAACAAAATCAACCGCCGCGTTCTCAAACTTTGCCAGGAGGCGATCCGGGATTGCTGGCCGGCTCAGAGTTTGCTGCTTTAGGCGGCTCGCCGACGCCAACGACCCGACCCCGCCGCCTGGTGCCAGCACGTGGTGCTTCTTGAGGTGGGCTTTCCACCCCGACGCGTTCTTCGTGTGGGTGGAAAACCACTTGCCTTGCCGGGGATCACCCTCCATCCAACGGTGCGTGTGCTCCCACGGGAACGCTTGCCGCTGCCTCCTTCGATTGCTGTTCGCAGCAACCCCAAAGATGCCGTTGCTGGCATCCTTGACCTCGTCCGCTAGTGCCTCTGCCTCAAGGACGTGGACCGTCTCCATCTGGTCCGACATCAATGATCGCAATTTATAATGGAGGCCACGGACTGCGCCACGGAGCTTTTAGCGGTAAACAAGGTACCGTATTTACCGGGTAATTCGTGCTACCTTTACCCTCCCAGGTAATTCTTCTGAGCTACCTTTAACCTATCCTGTACCTTACCCCTTGGCATGTCGAAACCTTTACCCTTTTACCCGGTAAAATAGGTAATTTACCGTACCTTGATAATTGTTTTTTTACCCTTTTATCTGGCTACAAAACTGACACCTTTTTTTACAAGGAGTCATGTTTGCATAGACCACAATACCTGCAGTCGTAATGCAAATAAAAAACATAACTCTGATAATGTGTGCACTGTCCTTGAAGTTGATTGGTCCACACCCGAGACAGCTTTCCTTAGAGCCTAGTCTCATATGGAGTTGGACCAGATGACGCCAAAAGGCGCACAACTCAAAGACAAAGCACCATCAGAGTATGAGAGCTCAGGGTAAGCATTTGCCAGATAAAAGGGTAAAAACATTCTATTTTTTACCGTACCTTGCCGAGGCCTACTATCACACGTGACATTGACCCTTGCCTTGTATTCCATTCCCAGGCCAACTCGAAGCAGCTGCCGCAAATTACTCCCGAGGTGGAGGTGCCTCTGCTGACGACGCCCACGGTCACCGTCAAGTTCAGCAGCCCTCCCACCATCCTGAGGCGCAGGAGCGTGCGCGGGCTCAGCCACTCCTCCCCCCCGCCTTCTCGTCGCCGCTGACGGACGAGATGAGCGAACCGCAGGACACTCGCAAAAGCACGCCCCTCAAGAAGCTCCCCTTCTCCCCGTCGCAGGTAGCATGGCCCCCCACCCCCTTTGCTGCTTCTTGTTAACTACCTCGCCCAGTATTCAGGAGGTTGTGGGTTCGATCCCGACCCTGACGCCTGCTGTACGTTTGGAGTTTGTGTGTCTCTCTTATCATCATCACGGTGGCTAGGAGATGTTAACTACCTCGCCCGGTATGCAGGAGGTTGTGGGTTCGATCCCGACCCTGACGCCTGCTGTACTTTTGGAGTTTGCGTGTCTCTCTTATCATCATCACGGTGGCTAGGAGATGTTAACTACCTCGCCCGGTATTCAGGAGTTTGTGGGTTCGATCCCGACCCTGACGCCTGCTGTACGTTTGGAGTTTGCGTGTCTCTCTTATCATCATCACGGTGGCTAGGAGATGTTAACTACCTCACCCGGTATTCAGGAGGTTGTGGGTTCGATCCCGACCCTGACGCCTGCTGTACGTTTGGAGTTTGCGTGTCTCTCTATCATCATCACGGTGGCTAGGAGATGTTAACTACCTCGCCCGGTATTCAGGAGTTTGTGGGTTCGATCCCGACCCTGACGCCTGCTGTACGTTTGGAGTTTGCGTGTCTCTCTTATCATCATCACGGTGGCTAGGAGATGTTAACTACCTCGCCCGGTATTCAGGAGGTTGTGGGTTCGATCCCGACCCTGACGCCTGCTGTACGTTTGGAGTTTGCGTGTCTCTCTTATCATCATCACGGTGGCTAGGAGATGTTAACTACCTCGCCCGGTATGCAGGAGGTTGTGGGTTCGATGACGACCGTGACACCTGCTGTACGTTTGGAGTTTGCGTGCTCTATCACTTCACGACACAGATCCCCGTATTGGCAGCTGTGCCTATGCAGCCCAAGATGACCCGGCACCTGGATCGGCATTAGTCTGCCAGGAGGGGGCGATGATCTTGATACTGATAATTAGACGTTTTGTCGGTACACCGGTGCAGCATAACACACCGGTCCCTGTAAAACAGTCTGAAATGGAAATTTGAATCGGCAGATATGTATAGCGGTCTTCAATTGACGCGATTCCCAGGTCAAGGTTGACCATTGATTTGGGTACCGTTGAATCGAGGAATCGTCCGACCAAGTTTAGTGAAATCTGCCTTTGGAACACTGGGCCAGCCAATCTTCATCAGGCTGGGTGTTGCTGTACGGCCGCTCATAACATTCGTCTCCTTCCGACCGCTTCAGCATGACGAGAACTGATTTTGCCGCACCACCACCACTCCCACGCAATATTTTCTGACCGGGGTTGCGAATCGCAGGAAAAGAAATAATAATTGTGAGAGAAAAAAAGCCTTTTTTTTATACCGTGCACCACCGATGTACTGTCAAATACGTTCATTTCGAGGACGTTGGTAGCCTCGAGCCAGACGTTGCGCGATTGGTGCCGCTGCGTGGTTGTGCCCCCCGTGCGTGCAGTTCCTGAACTTGAAGGTGGATTTGTGCCCGTCGCTCACCTCTACCCCTGTGTGCAGCCACAAGGTGGAGGTCACCACGCCACTGCAGAGGGACCACACGCCAAAGCCCTCCAAGGGTGGTGGCAAAGCGTACGTTCCCTCTGCCCTGTTCCTCCACCCCTCTGTTCCTCCACCCCTCTGACCCTCCACCCCTCTGACCCTCCACCCCTCTGATCCTCCACCCCTCTGATCCTCCACCCCTCTGATCCTTCTCCCCTCTGTTCCTCCTCCCCTCTGTTCCTCCTCCCCTCTGTTCCTCCACCCCTCTGTTCCATCCCTCTGTCCCTCCACCCCTCTGATCCTCCACCCCTCTGTTCTGTCCCTCCACCCCTCTGTCCCTCCACCCCTCTGTTCCTCCACCCCTCTGATCCTCCCCCCCTCTGTCCCTCCACCCCTCTGTCCCTCCACCCCTCTGTCCCTCCACCCCTCTGTTCTGTCCCTCCACCCCTCTGTTCCTCCACCCCTCTGTTCCTCCACCCCTCTGTCCCTCCACCCCTCTGATCCTCCACCCCTCTGTCCCTCCACCCCTCTGTCCCTCCACCCCTCTGATCCTCCACCCCTCTGTTCCTCCACCCCTCTGTTCCTCCACCCCTCTGATCCTCCACCCCTCTGTCCCTCCACCCCTCTGTCCCTCCACCCCTCTGTCCCTCCACTCCTCTGTTCCTCCACCCCTCTGTCCCTCCTCCCCTCTGTCCCTCCACTCCTCTGTCCCTCCTCCCCTCTGTTCCTCCACCCCTCTGTTCCTCCACCCCTCTGATCCTCCACCCCTCTGATCCTCCACCCCTCTGTCCCTCCACCCCTCTGTTCCTCCACCCCTCTGATCCTCCACCCCTCTGTCCCTCCACCCCTCTGTCCCTCCACCCCTCTGTCCCTCCACTCCTCTGTTCCTCCACCCCTCTGTCCCTCCTCCCCTCTGTCCCTCCACTCCTCTGTCCCTCCTCCCCTCTGTTCCTCCACCCCTCTGTTCCTCCACCCCTCTGATCCTCCACCCCTCTGTTCCTCCACCCCTCTGTTCCTCCACCCCTCTGTTCCTCCACCCCTCTGTCCCTCCACCCCTCTGTCCCTCCACTCCTCTGTTCCTCCACCCCTCTGTCCCTCCTCCCCTCTGTCCCTCCACTCCTCTGTCCCTCCTCCCCTCTGTTCCTCCACCCCTCTGTCCCTCCACCCCTCTGATCCTCCACCCCTCTGTTCCTCCACCCCTCTGTCCCTCCACCCCTCTGTTCCTCCACCCCTCTGATCCTCCACCCCTCTGTCCCTCCACTCCTCTGTTCCTCCTCCCCTCTGTTCCTCCACCCCTCTGTCCCTCCACCCCTCTGTCCCTCCACTCCTCTGTTCCTCCTCCCCTCTGTTCCTCCACCCCTCTGTTCCTCCACCCCTCTGTCCCTCCACCCCTCTGTTCCTCCTCCCCTCTGTTCCTCCACCCCTCTGTTCCTCCACCCCTCTGTTCCTCCACCCCTCTGTCCCTCCACCCCTCTGTCCCTCCACCCCTCTGTCCCTCCACTCCTCTGTTCCTCCACCCCTCTGTCCCTCCACCCCTCTGTCCCTCCACCCTCTGTTCCCCCACCCCTCTGTTCCTCCACCCCTCTGTTCCTCCACCCCTCTGTTCCTCCACCCCTCTGTCCCTCCACCCCTCTGTCCCTCCACCCCTCTGTCCCTCCACCCCTCTGTCCCTCCACCCCTCTGTCCCTCCACCCCTCTGTCCCTCCACCCCTCTGTCCCTCCACCCCTCTGTCCCTCCACCCCTCTGTCCCTCCACCCCTCTGATCCTCCCCCCTCTGTCCCTCCACCCCTCTGTCCCTCCACCCCTCTGTCCCTCCACCCCTCTGTCCCTCCCCCCTCTGTCCCTCCACCCCTCTGATCCTCCACCCCTCTGTTCCTCCACCCTCTGTCCCTCCACCCCTCTGTCCCTCCACCCCTCTGTTCCTCCACCCCTCTGTCCCTCCACCCCTCTGTCCCTCCACCCCTCTGTCCCTCCACCCTCTGTTCCTCCACCCCTCTGTCCCTCCACCCCTCTGTTCCTCCACCCCTCTGTTCCTCCACCCCTCTGTCCCTCCACCCCTCTGTTCCTCCACCCTCTGTCCCTCCACCCCTCTGATCCTCCACCCCTCTGTCCCTCCACCCCTCTGTCCCTCCACCCCTCTGTTCCTCCACCCCTCTGTCCCTCCACCCCTCTGTCCTCCACCCCTCTGTTCCTCCACCCCTCTGATCCTCCACCCCTCTGTTCCTCCACCCCTCTGATCCTCCACCCCTCTGTCCCTCCACTCCTCTGATCCTCCACCCCTCTGTCCCTCCACCCCTCTGTCCTCCACCCTCTGTCCCTCCACCCCTCTGTCCCTCCACCCTCTGTCCTCCACCCCTCTGTTTCCACCCCTGTTTTACTTTCCCCTGTTCCTTCCTGGTGTGGCGACATTTCTCATTCTCAAAGTGAATGTTTGATATTGAGGTTCATCGCATGACAGGCATTGTGTGAGCTGAAATTTACTCAAATTGATGGCGAGAACTCAATTTATCGTGAAGGACTGTTTCCGTGTGCAGTTGTGCTGAGAACATCACCACACCCCTTGAGAACCCGGCTGGTTTCATGTCGGATGGATGAAATCCAGATCCAAACCCAGGATATCAGTGGTGCCGGCCTCAGCTAACTGAGTAACCTCACCACCTTGGGACATTCCTATTCTTTGCAAGCGAAGCCTTTCACCGTTCCGAGACATCTGCAAGTTGCAGGGTGGTGGGTGTCCCGTTGACCACTAAATCTCAGAACTTGCGAGAAGCGTAACACCGTTGTTTTTAAAGACATTGTTACTCACCGCAGACAAACCATCGCGACACGACCACCGCCACTCTACAACAGCTGGCAGCCAAACTGTGCCACACGCCCCCCTCCCGCATGGCCTTGTGGGAGCCTCGGTACCGAAAAAGTTGTTTTTATTTTAGTTTTCCTTCCGGTGGTGTCATTTTGAGGATGTGCACGCACGTCACCGGAACAGAATCGGAAGAGAAACTGACGATGTTTGCTGCCACGAACGTTTCTGCCGTACGGGATACGCGGCAGGCCGCTCTTTTGTCACCGCTGACAGCTGCCGCACTTCCAACATCCGGCGCTCCATCCTGGGACCGCCCCGCACCCCCACGCCGGTCAAGCAAGCGCTGGCAGCCATGAGAGCAAGTACGGCCCCGTCAAGCTGATGGTGAGGGCTATGATGTTATTCAGCGTTTGTTTTCACGCTCGCGTTACGTCGACCCGTAGTAAACTATTAAACTATTTTCTATTTCACCAGCTAAGGGCTCCGCCGAGTTGTGTGCCTCTTTCTCAGAAGTGACCTGGCCATTGCACATGACAGCCCAACGAAGGGGCTCATCATCATCATCGTCATCATCATCGTGTCGAAATTATAGCAGCAAATACTCGAGATCACGTTTCTAAATGTGGAGGGAAAAGCCGGAGTACCCGGAGAAAAATCCACGCGACCACGGGGAGGACACATGCAAACTCCACATATACAGCAGCAGGCGTCAGGGTTGGGATGGAATCCGCGACCTTCTGTATACCAGGCGAGGTAGTTAACATCTCCTAGCCACCGTGATGATGATGAGAGAGAGACACGCAAACTCCAAAATACAGCAGCAGGCGTCAGGGTCGGGATGGAATCCGCGACCTTCTGTATACCAGGCGAGGTAGTTAACATCTCCTAGCCACCGTGATGATGATGAGAGAGAGACACGCAAACTCCAAATATACAGCAGCAGGCGTCAGGGTCGGGATGGAATCCGCGACCTTCTGTATACCAGGCGAGGTAGTTAACATCTCCTAGCCACCGTGATGATGATGAGAGAGAGACACGCAAACTCCAAATATACAGCAGCAGGCATCAGGGTCGGGATGGAATCCACGACCTCCTGTATGCCAGGCGAGGGTAGTTAACATCTTGTGATCATCAGCATTTGTAGTTATGATATGTGTGCCTACAACCCATTTGTTAATCGGCTGCTGGATGATGGCCTCGTCTGTGCGGGTCTTGGGCTGACCATACTTCAGTGCAAGAGGCGAGCAAAGAGGTGGTCGTTTTAAATGCGCAGTTCAACAACGGATGTTGCTGCGTGGGCCTCTGCTGCCCACCACGCAAGCCCCACAGCTTAGAACACTGGTCCATGGTGGTTTGCCCATCCAAGGACTATCTGGGCCCTCAATCCCATCTGGATTCTGAGAGATTTGGCAAGATTGGGCGCACTCAAGGCGTTTACACTATGAGACATCTCCTTTAGCAGTGGCAAAATATGGTGATGGGTTTTTACCCTTTCAACTGGTACAAAAACTGACACCTTTATACAAGGCATCATGTTTGCAATAACCACAACACAAGCAGTCAAATGCAAACAAAACGAAACAACTCTGATAATGATAATAATGATATGCACTGTCCTTGAAGTTGATTGGTCCACACCCGAGACAGCTTTTCTTAGAGCCTAGTCTCCATTGGTGTTGGACCAGATGACGCCAACAGGCGTACAACTCAAAGACAGCGCACCATCAGAGTATTGCGAGCTCAGGGTAAGCATTTACACTATGAGACATCTCCTTTACCAGTGGCAAAATATAGTAATAGGTTTTACCCTTTCAACTGGTACACAACATGATCCCTTGTATAAAGGTGTCAGTTTTTGTACCAGTTGAAAGGGTAAAAACCTATCACTATCTTGCCACTGGTAAAGGAGGTCTCATAGAGCTAAGCAGTCCTCAGAAAACGATGGCGGTAGTCCCCCCGTGACTCACTCTGGTGCACAGCAAGAACATGTGCTTTCTCTTACAAGGCTGTAGCACAGAGTCACGTGGTGCCGGCAATTTGATGATACATGGCAGGAGTACAGTGAGGGAAACAAGTAGTTGATCCCCTGCTGATTTTGTACGTTTTCCCACTGACAAAGAAATGATCAGTCTATAATTGTAATGGTAGGTTTATTTGAACAGTGGAGAGACAGAATAACAACAAAATCCAGAAAGACGCAAGTCAAAAATGTTATAAATTGATTTGCATTTTAATGAGGGAAATAAGTATTTGACCCCCTCTGCAAAACATGACTTAGTACTTGGTGACACAACCCTTGTTGGCAATCACAGAGGTCAGACGTTTCTTGTAGTTGGCCACCAGGTTTGCACACATCTCAGGAGGGATTTTGTCCCACTCCTCTTTGCAGATCTTCTCCAAGTCATTAAGGTTTCGAGGCTGACGTTTGGCAACTCGAACCTTCAGCTCCCTCCACAGATTTTCTATGGGATTAAGGTCTGGAGACACTTTTTGCCAGGAGGGTTCCTGCTAAGTTTTTGCATTCGAGAGCAATGGTGCTGGGTGCATAATCCCATTGCGTAATTGGGTCGTTTGCAGCCTCAGACACCTTCCCAGCTGGTGCTGCAGGAGCTGCTGGAGCTGCTGGGGAAGGATGCGTCCTCGTTGCAGGACACCCCGGGGAGATTCACCGGCCTCCGCTCGGCCAAAACCGGTAACCCCTGGAAGGTGAGCACCTTCACCACACGGCGATTGCAGCGCCGCGGTGGCCAGGAGACGTTAACTCCCTCGCCAGGGATGTAGAAGGTTGTGGCTTCTATCCCATACCTGACACCTGCTGTTTATTTGGAGTTTGTGTGTCTCTCTCCCCGTGGATTTTACTCCAGGTCCTCGGGTTTCTCCCTCCACATTTGGAGTCGGCGTGCATGTACAGTGTTCGGCTGCGAAACATCTCCACGTGACGACGAGCCACTTTTGTCGAGCTGCAGTTTGTGGCCAAGCCGCTTCTGAAGAAGAGCTATACAGCTCAGCGGGCCCTAGCTGGTCAAATAAGCACAGTTTAGTTCGTCTTCTTGCTTCTTTCGGTAAAGTCATCACGTAGAAGGGAAATAATAAAACAATAAAAACAAAACATAATAAAATACAATTCTCACGACGTTTCGGCCACAACGCAAGCAGCCGTCCTCAGGTGAAGAACAGGTCTGTCGGAAAGACAGCGTCTGAATGACGTCTGATTTGACGCTGTCTTTCCGACTGCACACAAAACCACCGTGTTTCAACGCTGTGTGCAAAAAATCCCAGCGGGATGCAAGTCAAACAATAACACCCATAAGACAATTTAGATTCAAGTTATCAGGCTAACTCTGTACTATAAAAAAACAAATATGGCTAAACCAAACGTTTTCAAAATCACCAAAATAAAGCTATGAAAACATGTAAAAGTGTTCACAGGAACTGTGATTCAAATGTAACAATAAACGAGATACATAACATGTACGACCAAACTTTGCAGCCATAGTTGGCTGCATGAGTCGCTCCATAACAGCAGGAGTATCAGTAGCAGAATCTAAATTTTTCAATACACCTTTAATGATCAGCACACCATAATCAAAACTCAAGATCATACTTTGCAGCGGTCATCCAGAATGATACATTTGATTGCAGGCCATTCTGAATAGCAGTGGCAGCTATGGGCGTACAACTCCTCTAGAGCAGTTTTGAGTGAAGATCTCAGAGGTAGTGATCCAAGTTGCAATTTATTGGCGATAGCATTCCAGACCCTGGCGGCATCAATAGCAAAGGCCCTTTCTCCAGTATTTGTACGGCAATAAGAAACGTGAAGCTGATAAATGAGCAAAGACCTTAGGTCACATTTGTTCTTCGAAACAGCGAGGAGATCCGGCAGGTAGTCTGCTGATTTCTTGTAAGTGCATCGTGAATAAATAAGATCTGGTGCACAAGCCGTCGATCATTAAGAGACGTTAAGTTTGACCCAATGTAGAGATCTCAGTGGTGAGTCCTATATGGGCAGTTCAATGCAAATCTTAAGGCCGAGTGATACAGAGTCAAGCTTCTTCAGTACAGTACTTGGGGCTGATTTATACACGATGTCACAGGAATCAAGTAGAGGCAGTACGGTAGCTTTTATCAATTTCAAGCGGAACATAGGGGGGGAAGCAGTGCTTGTGTCGATACAGAAAACCAATTTTTGCTATTGTCTCTTTACCAATACAATCGATGTGAGTGCAGAGTTTGAATGATCTCTCCCCGCTCTGCCACTGCGGAGCAGCAGCGTGCTTGTCTCAGGATGTGCACGCTCCGTGCCACTCTCCTTGTGGCTGGGACCATTCTCATCTGTTATAATAATGAGCTGTCATTAGCCATAGTGCAGTGCTGGAAAGCAACACTAATTATCTCTTTTTGTTTGTTCCCACACAGCAGTGCATGCATGCTTGAATTGCACATACACACTCATTACAATCATGACATCGCTTGCCATAATTAGTATGAATCACCTTTTTGTGTGTGTGCTATTTTTTGCGTTTCATTATTGGGCTGCAATGCGCCTCTTCCACGCGACGCGCCTGCTGCTTGAGAGTGAGCGACATTAGTTACTTAATACGATTCATGCACCCGGTGCAAAGCTTGTCGATTCAGATTGTTTCCATATCTTTGTGTTTTCAGCTCCCAACTACACCATGAATTATTTTCAGTTGAAATAATAATGATGATGATGGTGTTGTGCTAAAGGCAACGTTGCCACACGTGGACTGACAATCTCCTGAGGGAGCTTGGTGGCACAGAGAGCTGAGGCCTGTGTCAGCATTGGGCCAGTACAGATGCCATCCTGGGTCTTACAATAATATCATTCATACTCACATTTATACATCGCACCCGTCAAGCAACACACGATCTTGTATAATGAGTTTGAGGGTAACAGCCCAGTCACCATTGGCTGCATCGACGATACATGGTATATATGAAGATGTTTTTATTCCACTTAAATGTGAGTGTCTAATAGTGCAGCAGCAGCAGCATTGGATCTGACAGGGTAGCGAGGGTTGGTGACGCGGCGGTGACAATCTTTGACCCCCCGCCCGCACAGATGAGCGAGGAGTGGGAGGCGGTGGCGTGCGGCAAGACGGAGGACCAAGCGTTGATGACGGAGAAGGCGCGCAGGATCCTGCACACCCTGCAGAGCCCGGTGCCACCGTGAGCGAGTGCCACCGCTCGGTTGGCGCCACCGCACGGTACACGACCCCCCGTCACTCGTCCGCCCCTCCGTGCGCTTCGATAGCGACGCCACAGACATTCCCCCCGACGGCAAAGTGAGCGGGACGTGCCAGGGCCTTTTTTATCCGAAACGGCGGCGGTTTTGGTTTCCCCGCCAAATCCCGCGCCGGCGTTCATTCTCTCGGCGAAGGCGTTTGTGGGAGTATTTAAATGGAGAAGCCGGCAACAGGATTGTAAACTGTAAGTGCGATGGGTTCAACTGCCTTGGAGGCAACACATTGATTCAGTTCCAACACACGGGGTAACTTTCCCCTTAACAGAATTACAAGCTGTGTCGGTGACCACCAGGCTAGTAGCTACACTGGTCACAACGTAACTGCTCAGTTTAACTCGTAGCAGGCTTATTATTCGTAATCAACGTGTTTTGGGTGAGATCGCTGCGTTATTTATAAATGTGTCGTAACCCTCCACCACCCGACACGGCCAATCAGTAAAAATTGTCACGTTGACAAAAGACAAAAGAGTTCACTGCTTTAGCCCACCGGTGTGTTGAAGCGTGAAACCACAACATTTACAATGTTTGAGTAGCACGACGTTTCGCTGGTAATTGCATCCAGCATCATCGGGCACTGGGGAGACAAAGGCGGCCGGGAGTGGTGCTGGCCACCCACCCCCTCGTGTGCCGTGCCGGCCTTCATAGGTGCTACTCGCTAACAGCACTTGCCCCTACAGTCTGTTAAAGCTACACGGGGATCTTTGTCTTTGTGCGACCCGGTGTGCAGGGAGTGTCTCTGCTGGACTCATCAGAAGGCAACGAAAATAAGGACAACTTGGCAGTCACACAGACACAGTGACACATGCAGAGACACACACACAGACACAGTGACACATGCAGACACACACAGACACACAGACACACACACAGTGACACATACAGACACACAGACACACACACAGACACAGTGACACATGCAGACACACACAGACACGGTGACACATGCAGACACACACACACAGACACAGTGACACATGCAGAGACACACAGACACAGTGACACATGCAGAGACACACACACACAGACACACAGACACAGTGACACATGCAGAGACACACAGACACACACACACAGACACACACACACACAGACACACACACACAGACACAGTGACACATGCAGACACACACAGACACGGTGACACATGCAGACACACAGACACACACACAGACACAGTGACACATGCAGACACACACAGACACGGTGACACATGCAGACACACACAGACACACACAGACACACACACACAGACACAGTGACACATGCAGAGACACACAGACACACACACACAGACACACACACACACAGACACACAGACACAGTGACAGAGACACACAGACACACACAGACACAGTGACACATGCAGACACACACAGACACAGTGACACATGCAGAGACACACACACACACAGACACACACACACAGACACAGTGACACATGCAGAGACACACAGACACACACACACAGACACAGTGACACATGCAGAGACACACAGGCACACACAGACACACAGACACACACAGACACAGTGACACATGCAGAGACACACAGACACACACACAGACACACACTGACACACACACACAGACAGACACACACAGACAGACACACACAGACAGACACATACAGACAGACACACACACAGACACACACACACACAGACACAGACACACACAGTGACACATGCAGGGACACACAGACACACACAGACACACACACACAGACACAGTGACACATGCAGAGACACACACACACACAGACACACACACACAGACACAGTGACACATGCAGAGACACACACACAGACACACACACACAGACACAGTGACACATGCAGAGACACACACACAGACACACACACACAGACACAGTGACACATGCAGAGACACACACACACAGACACAGTGAAACATGCAGAGACACACAGACACACACAGACACACAGACACACACACAGACACACACAGACACACACACAGTGACACATGCAGAGACACACAGACACACAGACACACACACACACAGACACACACACACAGACACAGTGACACATGCAGAGACACAGACACACAGACACACACACAGACACAGTGACACATGCAGAGACACACAGACACACACAGACACAGTGACACATGCAGAGACACACACACACATAGACACAGTGACACATGCAGAGACACACAAACACACAGACACACACACACAGACACAGTGGCACATGCAGAGACACAAAGACACACACAGACACACACAGACACAGTGACACATGCAGAGACACACACACACATAGACACAGTGACACATGCAGTGACACATGCAGAGACACACAGAGACACACACAGAGACACACAGAGAGACACACACAGAGACACACACAGAGACAGACACACATGCAGAGACACACACACAGACACACGCATAACTATGCTGGACATTTGCTCTGGAGACATCTCAAGGCGGCCCAAAAACAGTTTTCCACGGGTTTTCCTCATCCGACGCCGAACGCATTGC